AAAAGTATATGGTAAGCACATAACGGTAACCATCTTTGCTAATTCTTCACGATCTTTATTAGGATCGTAATATAAAATACCACCGGTCATAGTGTTAATTCCTGGTTGAACTAGATTTGAACCTGTACTAGGGTTAACCGCAGTATCTACACTTGTCCCCTCTTGCTGCGCTTTCATTTGTAAATATTTAACTTTATCTCTAGGGTGTGTTTGTATGTGCCTAGCCAAACTACCCGTACCGCTACGGTCTCCAGTATATTTATGCGCCAGCAATTTCCCACAAGTTTTACACTTAGCCTTATTTTGTTCTCTTACTTGAGTAAAAAAATTCCAAACTATTGATGTTTCTAGGCGTTTAGAAGGTTGTCTATTAAAAGTAGGGGTTTCTACAGGTGGGTCGGGCGGGGCATCAGTTGGGTTATTAACAGGACTAGTAGGTGAATCATCTAAATCCGGTTGGGTTTCATCTACATCCTCATTTTCCTCATCATTTTCTAAGATAGTTTGATTAGGGGAAAGAGCATTCATAACTTCTTCATTTAATTGTTCACCTGGTGCAACATTATGGCAAAATTCACTATCGGAAAATTGAAAACAAGGGTTATCACTATCAAGAATAATAGGAGCAGCAGGACGGGTAACAGGTCTGGGTCGGGGAGCCGGGGGAAGGGCAGTAGGTTGGAGACTACTTTCACCAATTTTAGCTTTTCCCTTACCACCAAATATTTTTTTCAAAGAAAATGCCATATTAATCACAATTATGCAAACTAAACACACAAAAATATATTCTTAAAACTTAAGAGTTGGAACGAGTTTACCGAATTGCCGAACAACTTCTTGAAAATTGAAAATCGTTGAAGACTTGAAGACTTGAATACTTCAATTCACCAACTTCACAATTTTTCACGAAATTGCAATAATAAAATAAGCAATTATAGAAGAGAAATTAGATATAGATTGAGAGAGATTGAGAGAGATTGAGATAGATTGATGAATAGGTGAGTAAAAATGAAACAATGAGGGGGTATTTATAGTTGAGAATTGGGAAAAAGTGTAATTATATAAAGTTTGGGGTTAAAATAAAGTTTGGGGGCCAAATGGCTATTTTTTAAAGTTCCAAACGGCTGAAAATTAAAGGCCAACGGCTAGATTTTAAAATCTGACCGTTGGTCTTTTTAAAAAAAAATTTTTTTTTTAAAAAAAGAGCCGTTAGAGCCCGTTAGGACCGTTAGGCCCGGTTGAACCGGCCCAGGACCGCCTGCCGGTCCCGAGCTTAGCGGTCCCGATCTCGTGGGCTTGACGCAAGGAACAGGCCCGCCCCGGGCTTTTTACACCACCAGGGACCGGCCCACCAGGATCGGCCCGCCGGAACCGTTTAGCCCGTTAAGACCGCGGGCCCGGTCCGGTCCGGGTCCCAGCGCGGCCCACAATACACCATTAGTTGCACCATTTTACTTTAAGAGTGTCCTATAACCCCCCCTCCCCCTCCACCCCCGTCTTTATTTAACATCCTCTAAGCCTATGTGGCATAAAGAGTGTACCTCACTCTCCTCCCGAGCGTAAGAGGCGTAAAAACACATTAAAACTTCACTTCTGAAATATGATTTTGGTTATATTTTCCTGTTCTCGTTTTCTTTTTCTTTTTTTAATCTTTAGTCTTTTGCCTTCTCTTTCTTCAACCTTTTGCTAAAGAAGCCATTAACGAAGCAGAGAAGCGCAATAAGAGAGATTTCAATGGCTTTTGTAAAAATACTTCAGAGTCATAATCTCTTTTTGCTACAATTAACTTAACTAAAATTTTAACACATCGGCCATTTTCCCACAAATTTTCCTTTCTTTGTTTCCATGCGAGAGAATCCATCCGCCATTTCCCACCATCTCGATTACATAAAAGACAACCATTTGATTAACTAATATCCCCAAGATCTTTAAAGAATTTGACTTATTTGCAGCAACATCCAACAACTTGAACAGAGAACCTCTATGGAAATAATAACCCATTCAAATACTCCTCCTTCCCGTTATTTTCTTTTAATTTCTTCTCATCATTAATATGAATCTGATTTGGGTATAACATTTTCATCTTTTAGTCATTTGCTTTCATTAGAAACTTACATACAACAGGAGGAAAAGAGTAATCCTAAATAGTTCAAGTTACCGGCAAAGATCATTAGATATGAAGGAAAATGAAGTTACTTTCTTGTTCGTTTCTTTCTATTTTCTTTTTTCCTGATAACTTTGTGTTATCCCTTTCAAATGACACACGAGAATGTGCCTTAACGGAAAGCCCAATTTCTTTTTTTTTTTTTTTTTTTACAAGAAAACTCCTGAATGTGTTGGAACATTTTATCAATATTTGGCCACTTTTATGAGCTCATTATCTCAGATACTCAGTATAAAGTATAGACCTGTACCGTTTTACTCACTAACATCATTGCATAAAAAAAGTCATACACAAATAATTTTAAGGACTACAACAGCACAAGTACAAATGGATCAATCCTCCGATCAAGCAAATGTGAAAACAAAAAAAAAACCCAGAATGCAATATACAGGAAATACATAACTCAATGGCATATGAAAGTGGAATCTCCCTACTGTCTATATAACAAAGCAAAATTTTCTAAATCACTCGTATCGAATTTACAAAAATATGATATCCTAAGCCAAAACCAGCTGCAAAATAGCTTGCTTATTCATCAATCTAGGGGGAAGGAATCTCATCCTCTGGCAGAGGTAACTATATCAATAAAACCACAGCCATAGTTGCAGCCGTGATGATCGACCAGCCATAGCCACCACCAAATAACGAAATAGCTGTTTTTCACGAAAAAGACAAAAAAAAAAAATGGAATTAACATTAAATTTGGGATCATTAGTTAACTTGCAGCCATGTCTGTTGAGATAAAAGATTACATATGTAAGCATAGACAGGACATTTCAGTATATTTTGTACTAGAAAACACAAGAATATTAGAGTTTCATTCTTAGTTCTGGTAAAAAGAAAGGGCAAGTAAATGGCCACATTCACAGAATCACTCTTACCTATACTTTTGCTGTTATCAGGCAAACTAGGAGGCGGAGAAGATGACTTATTGCCCATTATATCAATCCCAAGCTGAGAACAATCCATTCCAAGAGCACCTATTACATGTATCAGATGGTTGTCACTAGTCAGTTTTCGCCTAAATAAAAAACCAATCAGCACTCAGTCATAACTATCTGGCTACATTTCTATATCATTTACTGTTACATCATTAGGACACTGTTTTGATTAGTATCTGAATATTAGAAGCGCATAGTTCTTACATTCTTTGAAGCAAGGGAAAGCAGTGAGATTGAGTAGATTGTAGTAACCCTCTTGGCATTCACAAGAATAGGTCACGGGAGAGGTCTTGTTGCACATGCCGCCTCCACATTCAGCCCAATGGCAAGCTAGATGATCACAAAGGAAGAAATATAAGATTAATAAGATAATATTTAATTAACTATTTGATTACAAAAGTATGGCATAATATCATCAATAATGAATTGCTATTACGTTCGAAGATTGATGCATTAGTTCGTTTATCTGGTGATGGGCCAGGAGCCTCCTCTCCACACGAGAAGTTTGTAGTACCTGGGGAAAAGAAATGTGGGGCCCATATTAAATAAAAGAAAAAAGAAAAAAAAGGACAAAAGATATGATTGGAGAAAGGGAAGGCAATGGTGGGCGCTGCAGAACAAGTTGTAAAACCAATTTGAAGAATTGGTTTTGGAATTGATTTTGGACGTTGCCCATCTTGCAACTTGCAACAACCAATTCTGATTGGTTAATTTGGACGGCAACTTTGCCTATAAAAGGAAGTGTTCCTTTTCAGTTTTAAACACACCAAAAAAAGAGAGAGAAGCAACAGAGAGTTAGAGAGAGTAATCCACATATATTGTAGTCTGTGAGATAAATAGTGAGTGGGAGTAATATTGTAGTGAGGTGTTTAAAATAAAGAGTGTTATTTCTTTCGAAGTTGTAATAGTCTCTTGACACTACTAAGTTGTAATATTATAGTGGTAATATTGCTCCGTTGGGATATTGTATTTTATCCCGTTAAAATATTTGGTGTCGCTGTTACTCTCTTGTGTTATTGTTATTTACCGTGGGTATTGTTCCTGGGCGGGATTATTATTATTATTATTCCCAACAACGTGGTACCAGAGCCATGGCGAGTAATGGTCCGCTGTCTTTTCAGTATCCCCGTCTCACAAAAGATAATTATGAGAAATGACGTCTACGTATGAAAGCCATTCTAGGCTCCCAGGATGTGTGGGAAATCATAGATAGAGGGTATGCAAAACCCGATAATGAGGAAGCTCTGCCTCAAAATGAAAAAGATGTCTTGGCAAAGACAAGGAAGAAGGATCAACAAGCCCTCACGCTCATCACCAATGTTTGGATGATGCCATGTTTGAGAAGGTGGCCGATGCTACCACCTCAAAGGAAGCTTGAAAGATTTTACAAAATTCTCTTCAAGGAGTTGACAAGGTGAGGAAGGTAAAACTTTAAACTCTAAGGGCTGATTTTGAAGTTTTAAAAATGAAAGAATCCGAATGCATTTCGGATTATTGTTCAAAAGTGAAGGCTGTTGTGAATCAATTAAGAAGATACGGGGAGGACATAAAAGATGTTCGTGTGGTAGAAAAGATCCTTCGCACTTTAACACCTAAATTCGATTTTGTGGTGTGTGCTATTGAAGAGTCTAAAGATTTAGACTCAATGATGGTGGAGCAATTGGAGGGTTCTTTACAGGCTCATGAAGAAAAGATCAAGAGGAGACAAGAAGTGCCACTGGAGCAACTTTTTAAAACTCAGGCATACTTTAAGGATTATGGAGGTGAAAGAAGCTATCGAGGGAATGGCCGAGGACGAGGCCGTGGCGGTCATGTACGAGGAAGAAGTAATGGTAACAACTTCAACAATGAAGTTAAAATCCACCAAGCATTCAGAGGTCGTGGTCGTGGACAAAGAGGAGGAAGAGGACGTGGCTACTACCAAGAAAATAATGGACAAAGGTATGACAAATCAAAAAATGAGTGTTATAATTGTCATAAATTTGGCCATTACTCTTGGGAATGTCGTAGCAATGTTGAAGAGAAAGCTAACCTTGTTGACGACAAGAAAGAAGAAAATGAGTCAACGTTATTGCTGGCACTCAAGGAAGAAGACAAGGATGATTGCAGCTCGTGGTATTTGGACAATGGAGCAAGCAATCATATGTGTGGATGCAAAGAAAAGTTTGTGGAGATCAATAAAACGGTGAGAGGTAATGTGTCCTTTGGAGATACCTCAAAGATTCAAATCGAAGGGATAGGTACGATTCTGATCTCCTGTAAAGATGGTAGTCACAAACTAATTCAAGATGTTTATTATGTGCCAAAATTAAAAAGTAATATTTTGAGTTTGGGCCAACTTCTTGAAAAGGAATATGACATCCACATGAAAAATATGCATTTTTGTCTTAGAGATTCAAGTGGAATTCTAATTGCTAAAGTGCATATGGCAAAGAATAGATTGTTTTCTCTGAATCTTAAAACAATTGATGCAAAGTGTTTGAAGGCTAATGTGCAAGATGAATCATGGTGTTGGCACATGCGATTTGGGCACTTGAATTTTGAAGCGCTCAAATCAATGGGAGAAAAGAACATGGTACATGGGATACCATCAATCAACCATCCCAATCAATTGTGTGAAGCTTGTCTTCTTGGAAAACATGCAAGGAGGAGTTTTCCAAAGGAGGCCATGTCAAGATCAACCAAGCCGCTCCAGCTTGTTCACACTGATGTGTGTGGACCAATCAATCCACCTTCTTTTGGTAAAAGTAGATACTTTCTGCTTTTCATTGATGACTTTAGTAAAGACTTGGGTTTATTTCTTGAACCAAAAATCTGAAGCTTTTGCTGCTTTTAAAAATTTCAAAGTACTTGTGGAGAAAGAAAGTGGCTATGATATTAAAGCTCTAAGGTCCGATAGAGGAGGCGAATTCACTTCAAACGAATTTAATGACTTTTGTCAGTCTCATGGAATTCGTCGCCCTCTAACGGTACCTTATTCACCCCAACAAAATGGAGTTGCAGAGAGAAAGAATCGAACGATTCTTAATATGGCTCGATGTATGTTGAAAGCTAAAAGTATGCCCAAGGAATTTTGGGCTGAAGCTGTTTCTTGTGCAGTTTATTTGAATAACAGGTCTCCAACAAGAAATGTTAGAGATCAAACTCCTCAAGAAGCATGGAGTGGAAGAAAGCCAGGTGTCAAACACTTGAGAATCTTTGGGAGCATAGGATATGCTCATGTGCCACAGCAAGGAAGAGCGAAGCTTGACGATCGAAGTGTCAAGCATGTATTTGTTGGCTATGATACGAGTTCAAAAGGATACAAGTTATACAACCCAAGCAGCGGTAAGGTGGTGGTAAGTCGCGATGTTGAATTTGATGAAGAATTGGCATGGGATTGGGAAGCTCAGGAAGAAACTTCATATGATTTTCTTCCATATTTTGGTGATGAAGAAGAACCAGAGACCGTGGAATCTGTGCAGGATACAACTCCACCTCCTTCTCCAACCAATGTTGCATCTCCCTCTTCTCAAGAAAGTTCAAATGAACAGCCGCAAAGGACAAGGAGTATTCAAGAGCTCTATGAGGACACAGAAGAAGTTACTAATTTTGATTTTTTATGCTGTCTCTTTGCTGACAGTGAACCAATGAACTTTGATGAAGCTATTACAAACAAAAAGTGGAGACAAGCCATGGAAGAGGAGATTGAGTCAATAGAGAAGAACAACACTTGGGAGTTAACAACTCTTCCCAAGGGTCATCGAGCAATTGGAGTGAAATGAATATACAAAATAAAGAAGAATGCTGATGGAGATGTGGAGAAATACAAGGCACGACTTGTGGCTAAAGGCTGATAAAGAAGAATGCTGATAAAGTGTTGCGGTTGAAGAAAGCTTTATATGGATTAAAGCAAGCCCCACGAGCATGGAATAGTTGCATCGACAAATATTTTCAAGACAATGGGTTTACTCGTTGTCTCCATGAATATGCTCTTTACCTTAAAGTTCATACTAATGGAGATATCTTACTTGTTTGTCTTTATGTTGATGATCTTATTTTCACGGGCAATAACCCAAGTTTGTCTGAAGCTTTTAAGAAAGATATGTCCCGTGAGTTCGAGATGACAGACTTAGGGCTCATGTCATATTACCTGGGCCTAGAAGTGAAGCAGATGGAGGATGGAATTTTTATCTCTCAAGAAAGCTATACAAAAGAGATATTGAAGAAGTTCAACATGCTTGATTGCAACCCCATGAACACACCGATGGAGAGTGGGACAAAATTGTCCAAGTTTGATGAAGGAGAAAAAGTGGATCCCACATTTTTCAAAAGTCTTGTGGGAAGTTTGAGGTACTTGACTTGTACCAGGCCAGATATACTCTTTGCAGTTGGAGTAAGCCGCTTCATGGAAGCTCCCACCTCCACTCATTTGAAAGTCACTAGAAGAATTCTTCGTTACCTAAAAGGTACGATTGACTTTGGGTTATTTTATTCTTCTTCTAATGATTTCAACCTTATGGGATTTTGTGATAGTGATTATGCCGGAGATATTGATGATAGAAAAAGTACAACCGGTTTTGTATTTTTCTTGGGTGATTCTGTTATTTCTTGGAGTTCAAAGAAACAATCAATTGTTACTCTCTCGACGTGTGAAGCTGAATATATAGCAGCAACATTTTGTACGTGTCATGCTATTTGGCTGAGAAGATTATTGAAGGAGCTCAATTTGCCACAAATTGAAGCTACAGAGATTTGTATTGACAACAAATCCGCACAAGCACTCGCGAAGAATCCAGTGTATCATGATCGAAGCAAGCATATTGATACAAGGTATCACTTCATTAGAGAAAGCATTGCCAAGAAGGAAGTCGAGCTCAAGTATGTGAAATCTCATGATCAAGTTGCAGATATTTTTACCAAGCCTCTCAAATTTGAAGATTTTCAGAGATTGAGATCAAGACTTGGAATGAAGAAAAATCAAAATTAAGGGAGAGATTTGTGGGGCCCATATTAAATAAAAGAAAAAAGAAAAAAAGGGAAAAAGATATGATTGGAGAAAGGGAAGGCAATGGTGGGCGCTGCAGAACAAGTTGTAAAACCAATTTGAAGAATTGGTTTTGGAATTGATTTTTGGGCGTTGCCCATCTTGTAACTTGCATCAACCAATTCTGATTGGTTAATTTGGACGGCAACTTTGCCTATAAAAGGAAGTGTTCCGTTTCAGTTTTAAACACACCAAAAAAGAGAGAGAAGCAACAGAGAGTTAGAGAGAGTAATCCACAGATTGTAGTCTGTGAGATAAATAGTGAGTGGGAGTAATATTGTAGTGAGGTGTTTAAAATAAAGAGTGTTATTTCTTTCGAAGTTGTAGTAGTCTCTTGACACTACTAAGTTGTAATATTATAGTGGTAATATTGCTCCGTTGGGATGTTGTATTTTATCCCGTTAAAATATTTGGTGTCGCTGTTACTCTCTTGTGTTATTGTTATTTACCGTGGATATTGTTCCTGGGCGGGATTATTATTATTATTATTCCCAACAAGAAAGCATCGGTGTCAAGAAAATGACTACATATCTTTAAAAAAATACGCTAAAATGAATGCAAGAAAAAAAACCATGATCATTTATTTGGGTAACCATTTCAATCAAGCTAAGCTTTTTAACTCGCACCAGTCTCAAATGAAAATGATACTTTGATTATAAGACCATTACTTGCTAGAATTGTTTTTGTGTGGAACATGTTAATTTGGTATTAGCTTCGGAAGGGAATGGTATTATGAGGTAGCTTGCTGAATCAATCAATTTTGTTAGGCTAAGCAAATTTGTGTGAACAAAATCCATCAGAAGTCAAAGAGGTTGAAAAATCAAGATAGACATTTACTAATAGATTATTATTCTGTGTCCCTTTTGATAAAACGTGTAAAAACTTCCACTATCACAGAAATCCAACTCTGACCTTAAAAAACAAATACTTCAGTGATAACATGAGAAGAACAGAAAACAAAAAACCTGTTTCATCTACCAACATCTCTCAAATTTCCATTAGATATATAATATATTAAGAACTGTAACTTCTAATCAGCAGGGATTTATGTTAGGGCCAGTTTGTAACAATCAAGGTAAAATTTTGATATCAGACATCTTCGTTCACAATCACTCTTCAAACCTGCTTATATATTTCTGCATTAGCTACTACAAACATTAATCAAACACTAGACATGTTACACCAGGCCATATACCTTATTATTAAGGTAACTAATTCACTCTTATCACAAGCCATTACTTATAATTATCTTTTGTACAACCTTTAGGATAAAAGAATCTTACATTATCAGTGTAAAAAAAGTTTAAACGGGGACTTACAGTTGGGAATAACACAAGGAAGAAACTTGAAAAAGTTATCGTTTTTGGAACGAGTTTGCCTCCAGCCAGGATCACATTCACATGCGAAACCAAAAGTACCATTTGAAGAAGCTTTGCAAGTTCCTTTTCCACAACTCACTTCTTTACACACATTTTCTGTACCAAACAAAAAAAAAACACAAATATCAGTAAAATAAACATCAAGATTGAATCTTTTCCGAAACCCAAATCAAAGAATCGAACAGAAACGCAAATTAAGAACACCCCACTTGACTAAAATCGAAACTTTAACCAATTATTGGGGTCAATATACGTTAATGAAATTTACAAAAAAAGGTACAGAGATTATGAATTACCGAAGATAGGGGAGAAGATAGGAGGCAAAGCATTGTTAGCAGTGGACCATGGTAGCAGAATAAAAATTAGAGAGAAAATTGCAAAGATATGAATTGAAGCCATAGCTGATCAAGAATCAGTTGGAGGAAAAAAAAACTGAAGCAGAGGAAAACAAGAAGAATTTTAATGGGTTTACTGAGATAATTTGGGGAGTATTAAATGAGAAATGAAAACGGGTGAAGCTGGACGGTCTTACTTTTTATTTTTTTTCTTTTTTCAAATGGAAGGTTCTGAAGACGTAGGAAGTTGGAAAAATAATAACGTGGTCATGTGTGGAATGCTACGAGGGATGACTGAGGAGTTAAAGGCTTTAATCAAGATTGGGGAAAACTGAGTCGTTGGCAGTTGGGGTTATGGGTATGTTTTACTTCTTTTAATTTTAATAGTTTCTCTGTTTCTCCCATCCCATTGAAGAGTATGGCTATAATTTTCATACTCCAATACCCAAATGCCTCTTTGACTCGGTAGCTTAGGGGTCGTTTGGTACGTGGTAAATTGGGAACCTTTTGATTACTAAGTTGTTCGTAAAAAGACGGGGTTCGAATTGAAAACAGTATAATGTTGCGTCATTATTAAACCAAACAGTTAGAATTGTTTTGTGACCATACCAAAATGATAGGGAGAGAGAGGAATGGAAGTCTTTTAATGTTTTAGACATTATACAGTTTATTTTATGTATAGTTGCAAATTCTTGTAGGCATCCGTAGTGCTAGCAAGATGTTAATTTGGATATGAGTCTTGAGTACATTTGAAGATCACGATGTGAACTGTCTAGATGGAATGGAACAAAATTTATACCTATCATACGCCGTATACCTACCAATTCGTTGAACTCTACCTAAAACAATAAATATATTGACTTTTTTTAGTCTGTTTGGAAAGCCAATAATTACCGGGCGATATAATTATTAGGATAGTATACTGATAATTATATAGTATAGTATAATAATTATAATGATCGATTTGTTTGCCACAGTATAATTCTCACTGTTATATTTAGTTGGACATATAATTACACAGTTAAATAATGAATTTTATAGATTAATATATGAATGAATTTTATATGGCGATGGACGTATTGAGGACAGTAGGAGGGGACTCATATCACTTTCCAGACATGATGGGGTTGCACCAAGGGTTGGCTCTTAGCCCGTTTTTGTTTGCCCTGGCGATGGACGTATTGACGCGCCACATCCAAGGGGAGGTGTCGTGGTGCATGTTATTTGCAGATGACATTGTATTGATTGATGATACCTGAGGCGGCGTTAACGCGAGTTTAGATATGTGGAGGGAGACCTTGGAGTCTAAAGGTTTCAAGTTGAGTAGGACTGAGTCGGAATACCTGGAGTGTAAGTTCAGTGGGATGACTCAGGAAGTGGAAGGGGTGGGGGTNTATTCCTATGTTTAAATAGAAATATATATATATATATATATATATATATATATATAGTAGTAGTAGTAGTAGTATTTTTCTTAGTATAATTTAAACTTTTGTGTAAATATTAGGTCTTCTTATTTATTTTATATAGTTTTGGTTAAGTATAAAAGTAGTTGGCTAATCTTTTTAGCTATGCATTTTACTTTCTCTTTTCTTCATTTAAAATAAAATAAAATAAAATAATAAATAATAATAAGTAATGCTATCTTAATAAATTAAAAAAAGAAAAGAAAAATAAAGCTAACAAAAGAACAAAAAAAAAAAGAGTCACGTCCCTTCCCCTCAACCCCCTCACATTCACTAAGCACACACGCACGTAAATCCACTTGTTTATCCCACTTTTTACCTTAATCCCATTCATCAGATTTTGTACCTTTATTTGCTCCACAATTGATGCCCTATACAATTAGGACTTCTATATTATCTAATTATATAACTATTTATCCTCCATTATTTCTAATTGAGTTACATAACTCCCTCTTCCTTTTTCACGTAAACCTCCCACTCACACACTATCATATGCACACACAGTTATATTCATATACAAGAGGATCTTTTCTTATAAATACACACTTGGAAGAGAAGAAAAAGGGAGGAGATTGAGAGGGAATCAGATTAAAAAAAAAAAAAAATTCAGCAATTAGGAGATATTCACAGCAATCCATTGATTACATTCAATAAAGAACTAAGTAGGGAGAATCGAGAGAAAAAGTTCTTTGTTTTTGGAAAGCGACGAAAGTTCAGTTTCGAGGTTCGGGTTCGAGTTACGTGTGTTGTCCTCATCCGTTTTCTTGTAATTGCTGGTCTTCTTTTATATTATTGAAAGCTTCTGCAAAGGTTCATATTCTCTATCTTTGTTATTTTCAGTCTTTTAATTTGTATGTATTTTGTGTGTTTATTAATGTTTAATGTGATGTTTATCTTATTTAGTGTTGTTTCTATTGTTTAGTTCTCTCCTTAGTTCCTTTTAAATCTTAATTCTGACGCTATAGATAGTGCTGAGTAGCTTATACTTAGTTGAATATTTATTTGCAGCTAAAGTTAAAAATTAATTATAGGAAGTATTTTATTATACAACACTAAGTGTTGATTATTTTATCTTCTATTAGTGTATAATGATTTTCACTTGTTTTCTTATAGACTGTTAAGTAAAAAATGAAATTAACCTTTGTTTTCTCGTTGTATTTGTTATAGAATTTATTAGCAAAACCTTTAGTTAGAACTTCTATTGTGAGATCTTTAGCAGTTTCCTTTATTATGGGTTTTGAAATAATCTTGCTAATATAAAAGTCTTTGTTATAAATAGAATCCTATTTATGGTGAATGTCCATATTTAGAGAGATTCTAGGGTTTATTACTTGGTGGCTAAGTCACCACCTCCCTATAAATAGAGGCTTCTATTCCATTGTAATTCATCCCAAATCAATAAGAATTCTCTCCCTACTTTTCTCTGCAATATTTTTCTTCTTCTTTCATTGTTTCATAACACGTTATCAGCACGAGACTCTACCATCTCAAGAAGATTAAGAAACATGTTTTATGTTTTCAATATCCAGTTGCGCCTATGCTGAAAGGTTGTGTATGTAAGTCAGTAGTGTTCGTTGTCTTCACTTACCTCTTAGAGAAGAATTAGCAAACAACAATTGATCAAGACTTAGAAGACTTTTCAACTGTGAATCAAGATTAGAAAACGTGCAACAGTCTTTATTCAATAGATCAAACAAATGTCGATATCTCTCCAGGTAAACTTGGATCAAAGTTCAATTGTAAAAATATTTGTTTAATTGATTCATGTACGACACATACAATATTCAAAGAGAAGAAATATTTCTCTCATTTAAGTATGTGTAAGGCAGATGTTACTACAATTTCTGGTAGCAGTAATTTAATTGAAGGCTCTGGAAGAGCTACTATAACTCTGCCTAAGGGAACAATACTTATTATAGAGAATGCAATGTTCTCCTCCAAGTCTAAGAGGAACTTGTTGAGTTTTAAAGATATCCGCAGAAATGGATATCATATTGAGACAATAGATGAGAATAATCTTGAATATCTCATCATTACCAACAATGACTCTAGCCAGAAAAGGGCTATTGAGAAGTTCCCATCTTTGTCTTGTGGCCTGTATTGGATAAGAATTAGTGCAATTGAGGCACATTCTATTGTAAACCAAAAGATTACCGATTCCAATACTTCTGTACTTTGGCATGATCGATTGGGACACCCTGGATCAATTATGATGAGACGAATTATAGAAAACTCAAATGGGCATCCATTAAAGAATTTAAAGATTCTTTTAAATGATGAATTTTCTTGCACTTCTTGTTATCAAGGCAAGTTAATTATTAGACCATCACCAACAAAGGTTGGAATTGAGTCCCCTGCGTTTTTGGAACGTATACAAGGGGACATTTGTGGACCTATTCACCCACCTAGTGGGTCGTTTAGATATTTTATGGTCTTAATAGACGCATCTTCTATATGGCCCCATGTGTGCCTATTGTCATCTCGCAACCTCGCGTTTGCAAAATTAATGGCACAAATAATTCGATTACGGGCACAATTTCCCGATAATCCAATTAAGTCTATTAGACTTGATAATGCTGCTGAGTTTTCATCCCAAGCATTTAATGATTATTGCTTATCAATTAGGGATAAAAAGTGTGAAGAACAATTCCTGTGTAGCTCCATGTTTTTCGAACCATACTCAAACAATGGTCTTCGCCGAGAGGTCTTTTTAATTAACAAGATCTGCCACCCATTGATAGCAAAAGAGCCTATGGTACTACCATGAAAAGCCAGAGCTGCGCCCACTTCTGTGGTGAATGGTCTCACGCCATTACATGGCAGCAATGCTAGTTCAAGATTCTCAGAAGGCCGACAATTTCAATAAAAAGTATTTCCCTCGTCCTGCAAATTAGTTTTGGGCCGTACGTCATGAACCTCAATTATATCCCATTTAAGAATTTTTGGGATGTGCAGTATATGCGTGCCCACTTGGTAGCACCGCCATATCGCACGCAAAAAATGGTTGTCCCCCAAAGAGAATTAGGAATAATATGTTGGTTTTGAATCGCCCTCCATTATTTCGCTACCTCGAAAAATGACGGGGGATTTGTTTACTGCTAACGATTGTGCAGACTGTTCGATCGAATGAGACACTCATTCCAAAGATTATGGTGGGAAAGTTTGGTGAAAACCAAACGGGAAATTTTTGTGGAAAATCTTCATTTTTCAATCATTGATCCACGCATCCTCAATTTTGTGAAAAAAGAGGGTGCAAAAAGATTATCATATAAGCAGAGAATAACAAATCAAATGCCAAAGAATGCATTTACGGATATGAAAGGGATAACAAAATGAAACATATCCCTGACGGAGTGTTCGTTCGGCGTACTATTGATGTCTGCGTATATGAAGCAATCTTTCTAGTGGTTCATAAGCATTGTAAATGATGTCAAAAGCACGCTAAAGAACGTCGGCAAGACACATTAGGTTCCAAAGATCGAAATCCTGAGTAATAAGGGAAAATAAAATGATCAAAATGACACTACGAATAGATCTCATGAAGAGAATCCACAATTTAATAAATTCTGAGATCATAGAGGACATCGCACTCATGAAGCCCCGAACATTCAAGAAAATAAGAACTATCAACTAAATCACCGACTCGGATTAATTGAGCACAAATTTTGAAATCGAGTGGTAATAATAGTCGGATTTATGTCTTTGCATATAATGTTGCATTAGCATTATGCAAGAAAGTGAGGATCTTGCAACCTCAATATCTGTTGGAGAATGATGACAAAGACTTGATTGGCCAAAATGGCAAAGAAGCAATCCAAGTCATAGTTGAATCGCTTGCAAAACGTAAGTTTTTGGGGACCATGTAGTCCAAACACCTAATTGGGTTAAGGCACTCG